TAAGACATAATATTTTGTCTTTCTATCAACTGCAGCTACAGGATGCCATAAGTGAAGATGAATGATTATAGTTTAATATCAAATTCAGGGGAAATAGAAAAAATATTTGAGTCTTCATAATTTTTAAATATTTTTAAAACCTTTATAGTCTTGAGACTTGTCATAAGTGAAACAGAATTTTACAAATGATCATAACAATTTTAGAATCAGAATAAAGTTTACATATAAAATGACTTACTTGAATTCACATGATTCATTTTCGTGGGTAAAGACTAAGACTTGAATTTTCTGATTACTGAGTATTATTTCTTACTTTAGCACACTGTCTTGAATATCTTCAGTCATCTATAAGATGACTAAAAAGAGACTGATCAGTGATATCTTACATTTTAAAATAAAATTCTAAGTAATTAGAGCTAGGCGAAATAAGGCTCATGAGGATTAAATTGTAAGAAGATGTTATAAGAGGGGGAAAAGTAAGAAATGCATTTTCACATGTAAATATAGGAGATTTTAGGAAAAAGCAATCAAGACTTTATTTATACATGTTTATATTAGTTTAATAAAACAAAAACAAACATCACAGGACTAGCAGATAATTTTGAATATGAAGACTGATAAAGATTCACATCCATTACACTAAAGACCAGATAAGATAAGGTCTTCATTCTATTACAGCATATCAGGAATAAGGATACCTCCTGATACTTCGGTATGTGCCATTTTGGGATAATGAACTTTACTACGAAGTGAACATTTATGTCAAGAAGTAGTTTAGTATATAATCGTGGTCATATATGAATACAACTCATTAAATTTAGGTATGCCATGAAAGCTTTGCTAGGTTACTTTGAAAAGTTAGAAATGACCAGGTTAACTAACCTTTCTTTTCTTTTTTCTTTTTTAATTTTGGTTCATTTTTTAAACTTTTATTTTAGGTTCAGTGGTACATGTGCAGGTTGTTATATAGGTAAACTCATGTCACAAGGGTTTGTTTCACAGACTATTTTGCTACCCAGGTACTAAGCCTAGTACCCAAGAGTTATTTTTCTGCTCCTCTCCCTCATCCCACCCTCCACCCTCAAAAAGGCCCCAGTGTCTGTTGCTCCCTTGTTTGTGTTCATGAATTCTCATCATTTAGCTCTCACTTATAAGTGAGAACATACGGTATTTGGTTTTTCCTCTTGAATTAGTTTGCTAAGGATGATGGCCTACAGCTTCATCCATGTTCCCACAAAAGACATGATCTCATTCTTTTTGATGGCTGCATAATGCATAGTATTCCACAGCGTATATGTACCATATTTTCTTTATTCAGTCTGTCACTGATGGGCATTTAGGTTGATTCCATGTCTTTGCTATTGTGAATGGTGCTGCAATGAACATTTATATGCATGTGTCTTTATAACAGAATGATTTATATTCCTCTAGGTATATAACCAGTAATGTGATTGCCAGGTCTAATGGTAATTAACTTTTCTTTTTAATGCCAGAATAACTGTTACATAAAATATTTCACTATGCCACTGTCAAAGACAAAATCTTGTGACTAATGGGTCCATTGTCCAACCATCTAAAGCTGCACATTCACTCATTAATCACATCTGGCTTTTGAATCCTTAAAATGTAGGCTAGTTTGACCCAGGGGCTGAAATTTTTATTTTATTTAATTTACATTTATTTTTTCAAAGAAACATGTGGCTAATGGCTACAGTGTTAGACAGCACTGAGAACATACCCATTATCACAGAAATGTCTATGGAACAGAGCTGACCTACAACATTTAAAAAACTTTGTGCATTCTTGTTAACAAAATTGAATCTTATTAATAGGTAAAATTAGCAAGATGGTAGATATAAACTCAAGCTCCAAAAAACTATTTAATTTGATTGTACTTAAATAACAATGAGAAATAAGTACGGAAAAAGTAAATAGAAAATGAACCTAAGATATTTTTCATAATATTCCAGAATAGGAAACATAGTGACTGTTAAACAGATGAAAAGATTTCCATTCAATTGATAATTAGAGAAATGCAAACTAAAACTATTATAGACTGAATTGCGTTGCCCAGAAATTTATAATGTTAAAGTCTCATTCCTCAGTGTGACTGTGTTTGGAGATAAGCCCTTTAACGAAGTCATTTAGGTTAAATAAAGTCTTAAGCGTAAAGCTCTAATCCCATATAACTGGATTCCTTAGAAGAATAAGAGACTCCAGGGATGCGTGCACACAGGGGAAAAAGCCATGCGATGACATAGCAGGAAGGCAGTAGTCTCCAAGTAAAGGAGAGAGGCCACAGGAGAAACTAAACCTGCCTACATCTTTCTGGACTTCTAACCTCCAGACTGTGTAAAAATAAAGTTCTGTTATTGAAGCGATAGACTCTGTAGTATTTTGTTATGGCAGCCCTAATAAACTAGCACAAAAAACAATTGAGATTTTATACTAACTAGATTGGCTGATCTAATTGGTGAGGCTGTAGAGTCATAGGACTGCAACTTGATTCAGTAACTTTGAAAAACATTTTGGCATTATCTTTTAAAGCTGAATATTCAAATTTCCAATGATCCAGTAGTTCTAATCTTAGTTACACATGTTAAGATACATCTTATGTGTGTGTAACAGGAGACATGAAAATACATGCTAATAAAATATTGTTAATAACAGATCCAGAGATCCAACACAATTTAGATAGCATCAACAAGACAATATACACATTTTTTATATTTATACATCATAGTATCATACAGTAGAAACAATGAATAAACAATAAAACAAAATAGATGTACCTTAGAAAGATAATAATATTGAGTGAAAAAAAGCAAACATAGTTACCTAAAGTAGATGCCAATTGTATAAAATGCAAAAAAAAAATATAATGAAAAATACAGAAAAATTAAGTGAATGCTAATATAAAACCAAGAGCAGAGTTATACTTTTTAATGCCAGAAAAAAAGAACCAGAGAAAAGCACAAAGGAAGATTCAGCAATGTTGATTCTAGTTCTTAGTTTTGGTGGTGTGTTTGACATCTGGGAGAGTATGTGTGAGTGTTTTGGTTTTGTGGTAACTGGATTATGCTAAATTTTACATTTCTTCTTCAATGAAATGAATTTTGGTCTCTCTTGGAAATGAAGGAGATAGCAACAACAGAATGCAGAGACATAGCTGCTGCAGCTGTACTACCCATGGAAAAGTATAAATAGCAATTTAGCAGCTAGTGATTCTGAAATTGCCCTTAACTGTGTCATTATAAAAATGCTCTAACAAATATGTTTTATAGTATGGTAACTATAGCAAATAACAATATATTGTATATTTCAAGGTAGCTAGAAGATTTTAAATGTTATCCCCACAAAGAAATAATAAATGCTTAAAATGATGGATATGCCAAATACCCTGATTTGATCATTATATAATGTATATATGCATTGAAACATCACACTATACTCCATATATGTACAATTACTGTATTTGTTATAAATTTGAAAAAAAAGATAAGTTTACAAGTAATATAGTTAAGAAATTCATCTGATGGATTTTCTCCCCATGCCCAAATCATTGAACAGTAAATCTAATGAAGGTACTATGCCTAAATGTAAAGGATAAATAATTTTTTAATTATTTAAAAAATCAGTCTCAGAACTAGAAATATTGTCAGCTACATCAGCAGTCTCAGATTCAAGCTTTTATGTCATGGATATTTCTGTCATAGACCCTGGCAAACATGTGTTCTGTGTTAGTCTTATAATTGTCCTTAGAATCATGGAGGCCTATTCATTCATTCAAAAAATTTTATGGCTTCTATTTCATGTGTTAGTTATGATAATGGGTTTGAAGACTACAGAAGCCAACACACAACACAATATGAGGACAAACTTTTTTCCTTAATTCATCCATTATTCAACCTGTGTCATTTTGAGTATTGACTAGGAATCAAGTGCTGTGCTAAATATATATTAATAAGTGCATATTGGGCCGGGCGCGGTGGCTCAAGCCTGTAATCCCAGCACTTTGGGAGGCCTAGGCAGGTGGATCACGAGGTCAAGAGATCGAGACCATCCTGGTCAACATGGTGAAACCCCGTCTCTACTAAATATACAAAAAATTAGCTGGGCATGGTGGCGCGTGCCTGTAATCCCAGCTACTCAGGAGGCTGAGGCAGGAGAATTGCCTGAACCCAGGAGGCGGAGGTTGCGGTGAGCCGAGATCGCGCCATCGCACTCCAGCCTGGGTAACAAAAGCGAAACTCCGTCTCAAAAAAAAAATAAAAATAAAAATAAGTGCATATTAATATAACTGCAAATGAGAAGACTAGCTGTTTATGATCTTACTATTGTCTTTTTCTTTTCTTGCTGTAAAATGGGATGTCCCTTTGCCCCAGGTTTTGCTCTCAAATTGCAAATGAAAAGAAAATTCTCAGTGGGATGCTGATGTGCATAGAAAAATGAGAACAGAGCTCCTCTTTCACATGTTCCATTTACCTTCCTTCTAGCTGTCTATATACACTCACTTTGACTGTACCAAGACCAAGACTAGAAGTGCCCCATAGGAACCAAACCAACTTCCTCACATCATTCATTAGGACTGTTCCTCTTGTAGAAGACTAAATGTCATCATGACCCATAATTTTCATGACCTTCGTAGAAGGTCACAGAGACAACCTATGAAAATAATTTTTCTTAAAAGAAAATACTGAAAGAGTTAATCTGCTGCTCCACAGGTCTAACCTCCTGGGATTAAACCACAAGCATGGAGATCACTCAGTGTACTTAGTAATAACAAGCTAAAAATAGAAAAAAGCATGGCGCTGTTATTGTATGAGACAAAACCTTCCCTCCAAGGTTTTGTCTGATAAACATCACTACCTCCAAGGGGATTGTAAACAAGGTTTTTGTAGGGTAGGTTAGATACCTGTTTTTTCAGACAGTCATGCCATAACCAGTTCTCAGCACATTTATTTTAAGATAATTAAATGTTTAAGATTTAGTGTTCCTACCTGATTGGAAACCTTCTTGTCTTTAATTCATTGACTATACTTGATTTCTTTTTTTCTTGGAGATGATCTCCAGATTTCTATCAGAAATCACTTCGGGGAAACCAGGGCTTCTCAGAAAGTCAGGAAACTGAAATGGAAACAGTAGGAGAAAGGGAAATTATCTGTACATATAAGTTTCACTTTTTAAAATTGTTAAGGAAATGTTCAAGCATCTATCTTTTGAACAGTATATCATAACTGCAGGAAATTTCATGATTTACAAGTATGAATTCTCAAAAGACAAACACACGATGTGAGTATAGGTTGCATTTTGGGATTTCAAGTCAAGCAGTCTTCAAAAAAGGCCTGGTTAATGTGTGTGTGTGTGTGTGTGTGTGTGTGTGTGTGTGTGTAGCTTTTTTGTGATGGGGTGGTGAGGAAAGAATAAATCTGTTGACTACTAGTCAGTGATTGAGAGGCCAAAAAAGACAAGTTTTCTGTCTTTTTATTTAATGTCCACTTCCATTCTTCAGTGTTCATCTAGATTTCTCTTCCGTCTTCACTTAAGATCTTCAGAAAATTAATTTGACTAAACTTAATTATTAATAAAATAAACATTGGAATTTATTGAAGGATATTTTACAGAGACTTTTAATGTCTTTTCAAGCACTGTCACACACAAAAGTATTAGAGTGTGTGTGTATAGCTTTTCTTGTAATGAGATGGTGAGAGAAAATAAATCTGTTGACTAGTAGTGATTTAGAAAGATGGACGGATTTAGAAAGATGGATATTAGAGTAAAGTGAAGCAAATTATGCAATAAAATTCCAACACTGTGATTCTGAAACAATCATAGCAGACTTCTGGATGATTAAGGGGTAGCCTTCTCATATTATACTCACACCTGTTATAGACCATCTGTCCACAACTTGTATACCATCATTAATCATTCATGGAAAACAAATGACCTGATCTCTCTTTCTATCCACTTCTTGACCATTCTCATATACATTTTTTCTGTCTTTAACATCATACCCTTTTCCATCTATTTGTAAACAGGGATATAGGAGGAGCAACACACAATAAGCCAGCCCTCCACATCTGTACAGTGATGACCCTGAAAGGAACACTGGCCTATTAGGAAACTAGGAGTGGTTTGGGATTGTCTTTGACTGATTTCCCTCAGAAGCAGAGCCTGAGAGAAGAATTTGAATTCAAACTGTTCCTGGGCAGTCATTAAGGAAACTCAGGAGTAGAATGGGTACTGAGAATAGAGGCATGGAAGAAAGCCAAGAGTGGTACAGCACTGAACAGGTTACTCTTGAGGAAAACTGTTACAAGTCCCTCAGAGAAGTCCTGTGAAGCATTGCAGAACATTCCCTAGAGTTATCACTACCAGTGGGTGAGAAAGCTGAAGTGTTCATATTCCAAATCCCCTCTGTCATGGATTGAAAGTTTCAACCAGATACATTATCTCCTGCACACTTCTGGCCTACCCTATAGAGATATTTGCAGATGATGGAACAATTCTGTCAATATGCACTAGAATGCCAAGTACTAGGGAGATATAGGTGGGCCTCTGAGCACATCACATACAGTGGCAGGGGGGTATCAAAGATTATCTTGTAAATCCAAATCAATAAACTTTGGTTGACAGTTTTCTTTTAAGGTAATTAAATACTAATGCACTGATAACAATTTCCTCTATGAAATCAAATCAAAGATCCTAAGTTAATCTCCTGGAGAACTGTTAGTATCTTTGATATGGTCCTATTTTAAAAAAAAAAAAAAAAAGGAAAAATTAAGATTTCAAGTTGACAATTCACTCACTCATTTAATACTCATTGAACACCTAATGTATGCTAAGGATTAAGCTAGACATCAGTGTGCCCGTTATTAAAATCATTATCTTACCATCAAGAATTTACTTTTTGGGGGTATCCAGATAGTACAAATTATTACACAGTACTATGGAAGAGAGAGCAGGGTCTTAATTCATTCTGTGGACCAATAATAAGTGAGGAATATTAGCAGGTCTTCTTACAGAAGTCAATACTGGAGATTGATATGTAATGTGAAGAAGAGGTAAATTTTTGAGTCAAAGAGAAGACAAATTCACAGTAGAGACAAAAAGAATGGTTAAGGAGCAGAAAAGAAAGAAATGCCATATACAACTGGTATAGTGTTTAGAGGGGTGTAAAAAAAGAAGACAACAGAGAGCATGATAGCAACCAGATAAAGAATGGATTGTGTATGTATGATAAGAATGTGGAATTTAATTCTAAGGAAGATGGAAGACACTGAGTGATTTTAACAGAAAAGTTCAAGTTAGAAAGAGAAGAAGATAGAAAGGTTTATTTGCATAACATGATCAGATGTTGTTTGTTTTAGAAAGATACCTTTGGAAATACTGGGACTTGATTATTGGAGAAGGGTAGTTGCAATCCTAGACACAGAAAGATTAGTTAATAGTCCATTAATATAAGCCAAAGAAGAAACTGGATATGAGGTTCATGTATGGCAGTTCCTTGCTTTCAGTACTTGAGGAATGTTATGCCAATAATTCTGACATCATAGTTTCAGATCTGAAATCTGCTGTCATTTGAATTGGTGTTTCTCTATAAGTAATGCATTGTTTCTCTCTGTCTGCTTTTTAGACTTTTTTTCTTTCTCTTTATTTTTCAAAAGTTCAATTATGATGTACCTTGACATGGATATCTTTGTGTTTACCCTAATCGAGGTTTGCTTAGGTTATTGAATCTGTATGTTTATGTCTTTTACTAGTTTGGGGAACTGTTCTGTCATTTCTTCAAGTAATTTTTCCATCTCACTGGCTCTCTATTTTCATTCTGGGATTTTGATGACATGGATGTCAGCTTTTTATTTTTTGTTTCAAAGGTTCCTGCAATCCTGCCCACTTTTCCACTATGCCTATTTTTCCTTCTGTTTTTCAGATTTGGTAAATTCTGTTGATCTGTTCCTAAGATCACTGAGCCTATGCTTTGTCATATCCACTCTACTCTGGATCCTGCCCAACAAAGGTTTTTATTTTGGTTATTATATTTTTCAGCTCTATCATTTTCACTTGGTTTTATTTTATAACATCCATTTTGTTGCTTACACTTTCTATTTTTTCATTTATTTCAAGAAATACATAATTACTTTTTGAAACATTTATGTGATATATTTAAAATCCTTGTCAGATAATTTCAACAACTGATTTATCTCATTGTTGGTGTGTGCTGACTGTAATTTTTTTTTTTTTCATTCATTTTGTGATTTCCTGGTTCTTGGTATGATGAGTAGTTTTCAATTGTATTGTGAATATTATAAGTGTTATATGACTCTGGATCTTATTTTATCTTATTATTATTTTTAGCAGGAAGTTCCCCTATATTGGGGTGTAGCATGAGGGCTTCAAGGGTGGGAATGAACAGGTTCCACTGGGCCTGGCTGGCACTACAATGGCAACAGAGGGACGCTGACTCACACGGCCCTACTGCAGACAAATGAGGTAGAAGTTTAGCTGCCTCTTTGGCCTTGCTGACACCTTCCCAAGGAGAGTAGGACCATTCATATCAGGTTGTTGCCTTCAAATGGGAATGGAGGCTCAGTACTCTAACAGGCCCCCTGAACTGGTGAGAGGAAAATGAAGTGTCAACTCTCCTTCTTCACACTACCTTATTCTATCCTATTGGTGTTAGGTGTGTGCAGATGCTCAATTCCTCACTGATCTCCCTGTCCCCAGGTTTTGAAGGAAAGTGCAACGCCTCCTGACCCCAACTTGCAATATCCTGTTGCTGATGTCAATAGAGGTGGAGGTTAAGCTCCCCACTGGACCTCATGGCTGTGTACAGGGAGTCCATTTGTAATTAGCCCTGTCTGGCATGATCTCCTTAAGTCTCCTTCCTGATGGCTGGGGTAGAGGCTCAGCTCTCCATTGAACCACATTGCAACAACTCTGGTGCAGGAACCAGAGTGCTCCCTGCTTGTGAAGGGCAAGAATTGGGTGGTATGCATGATCCACTCCTTACGTGGTCCCTCTGAAACAAAAGTCATGGGTCATCAGTGTAACCTTGACCTGTGGTTTCATTACTGTTTGGCTGGAGAGGTGTGTATACTGCCAGAAAGGTTTTCTTTTGTTAGAAATGTCTTTTCTTATACTTTGGCTAAGAAGCACCGAGTTTTCTTGGAGCTTTTTTTGTCTGTGTCTATTGGTAGTTATGGACTGGAGGTTCCTGTAGTGCCCTGTCTGAGCTATGTGGGAGGCAATAAGAAAACAGGGAACTCATTACCATGTCATTTCTGAAGTCCCAAGATAAGTCTGCCTTCCAGTTTTCACTGTTCATGCTTATGTATTGTATTCAATTCAGGGTTTTAGTGGTAAGTGAAGAGACCTGGGAGAAATGCAGCTACTTCATCTTATCAGAACCAGAATTATGGAGGTCTATTGATGTTAAAAAGTGCTGTTGGCTATAAATTGAAGTTTGACAATATACACCATGCCCTTTAGGAATTATTCAGCTAGACAAATGGCTTCCTAAGGGTTAGGAAAGTTATTACAATTTGAATTTCACACTTGTAGAAGTCAAGTGTTCTACTGAAGGTGAAATTTACAGATAAGGAAGGCTGGACCATTCATGAGGTAATAGATGAGAGCTGGAGACGCTAATATAAACTCATGCTTAGCTTAATGTACATATGCATAGCAACATACAGCAAAAGTTACAGATATGTCATACACATTGCTAGTAGACATACACATATCTCTTCACTCAGCCAGTTAAGACAACCTAGAAACAAAGACACCTCAGTAGCCATGAGCACACACAGCACCCAGATCTCGGTGCTAATACCACTCCCTAATAAAGGCAATTAGAGCTTCCTGGAGAAAGGACAAATTCTAGAACCAGGGCAAGAAATATAAAAGATGGAACTAGACAATCCTGTAGTGTCAGAAAATAAAGAAGTGATTTTTAAAAACACACATTGATGGAGTCATGTCAAAGAAGCCTAGGAACCAGAAGCTGGGGAACTACTGAAAGCGTTTGAGACATTGATCATCATCTGTGGGGGTCTGTCCTGCCATAATGGTTAAGATGGAAGAATTTGGGCAACAAAATAAAGTGGTATATAACCCCAAGTATA